GAAACCCGCCACCTGCCTGTGACAGTGGTTGGAAGTCGCTCAATATACACATCGCGAATCGATAGAAGTTGGAACTCATGAGCCATTGAGTTGGGTCTCAGTGGCTGAATGCTCTACAAGCTCGTGTTGTAACCGGCAGGTCCTGGGTTCCAACCCCAGTGAGTGAGCGCTTATGAAAAGTTTCATGCTGCGACGAAACTACTGTGCAGTACTCCCAGGTTTTCCATTGGATCTCTGACTGATTTAACTCGCAATCAAACCTGCAAACAATCGAATCCCTGCAAACCAACATTTGACGGTCAACAGTAAACGCCGTTTATTTTCCTAGTAATAATTTTAGTAGTAGTAGTAGTAGTAGTAGTAAAAAAATTCTAAATGAGAACGAAATAGCCAAGTAGTATGTTTTAGAAACTCATCATTCTTTCTTTGATAACGCCTCAGTCACGGGCGATTATACAACAAATCCTTTTTTGAAGGGGTGCCTCCTTCATCCGGTGAGTACTAGGGTGTCGGTGGCATAGCGGTTAAGACGCTCGCCGACCATGTAGGTGGTCCGCGGTTCGATCCCCGGCCGGCGCATTCCTTTATCTCGCTAAGCCAGATTTAATGCTGTCGAAGAGGAAAGGTTGGACATGAGGTTAGCAACCCCATCCTGTAAAAATAAACACTGCTACAGAAACTTCAAGCCACTAGCTTGGAGCCCTATGTTCCACTGGGGAACGTGAAGGAAAAAAAATTAGGGCGTTTCAATAAATATAGCGAAATACACCAGCATGATTTCATAAAAATTCAATAATATACGTTCGAATTATGAAATTAATGTCTTTTTTAATCCATTACATTGCTCAGATGTGAGTGTCAAGCCAGACTTTCCTAACAAAGTTCAGCAAATTCCGTTGTGGGTGAAATTTATTTTGTTAACGTTTCACAGTGTTAAACAGTAATATTTACTGATGACCATATTTTGAGCACAATTTATTGCCACTCATAATCATATCAAGGTACTCACACAGTCTTCTAACTTCGTTTATATAATTCCATTATTTTTCATCGCTTGACTTGACTGGTAGTAGTATTTTCCATATTTCCGGTATGAGTGATTAGTCATTCCTATTTCATGTGTTGGGTGTAGACTCGATCGATGAACAAGGATTCAATAATCAACCCCTCTCTTCCCCTACTTATATTACGTCTTCGAATTTTAACCCTCTCCAAACCTATTGAGTGGTTGTGTGTTAATGTATGCTGTACAGTTGCTGATCTTTTTTAAAATTACTTATCTTCGCGGTTCAGCAAATTTAATGCAGTTGAAGAATATAATGCCACCGATACTATGCATACCAGAAAAGAATTTGAATACAAAATTTCATGTAAAAAGCATACAAAAAGTATAAGTTTTCATTAAGCCACCATAGCAAACGACTATGATGCTACAATTAGTGAGGATATACAACAAAGCCACTTCTCAGTCACTTTATGTGATGAAAATAAACGAATTTAATGCTGACACTATGAATTCTACTCATCAGCTGATTATACTGTACATGTCTGAATAAACATTTGTTCTCAGGTAAACCAATGTACAAGAAAACTAATTACGAAATGTATACAAATCGAAATATACGTGACCAACCAGTAACAATAACATGCACCAATCGTCATCAACGGGACGAAACCAAAGAAAGTCATCCATATCGCTCACCTTACCCGGGAAGTATCGTTTCAACTACAGGCGGAGGCACATATCTCAAAGCCAGACAGGAGCGGAAAAGTGAGAAAGACTTTAAGCCCGTGTAATAATCTGCTGCACTCAACATAAGGAACAAGATGTGAATTTGTAACACTCACGTCAAGACACTGTCTTCATACGGTGCAGAGATTTGACGCATTTTTCCAGCAGGCCACTGCAGAAACTCATCAATAGACGCCTTGAGTTTATAGTAAAGATATGACAGGCAGCTGGAGAGGACAAGCCACAGAAACTAATCAGCCAACAACTCGTTGCTCGAAAAGTATTCAGAAATAAATGCATGTGGATTGGATACACACTAAGTAGACCTCTGAGTGACATTACATGACAGGTGTTCCATCAAATGGAACCTAAATAGGAAACGACAAGTTGGGCATTCAACGAAGATTTGGAGGAGATCATTTAGAGAGGATAAAATATAAACTTATGAGAAATCTTTGAGTTAACTTAGAAAAGACCGGAGACAATCGAATAAAACAGAGGTGTGCTGTCGAAGCTCTATATTCCATTCGGAACTCAAGGGAATAATGATAACATACAATGGTGACCGCTGGTTGTAGTAATCATCGAAGAGACAAGAGAAAGTGTAACTTGCTGTACGCAAGTTTATCACAGTAGCTCAATAAATGACATACTTGAGTAAAAAAGTGCACAGAAAAGTGCAAATGTTTTCTTACGTAATTATAAGATTAATATTGAAAGTAATAACTACTTTAAAATTTGAAATTTTTCGTACATTTCTTCGGTAATTAAACATTTAACAAGGGATAAAATAAATGACAATTAGAATGGGATTGTTCTCCGAGAAAATGTTACACTTTCACAGAGTGTCCGTTATGTGGGAGTCATCTTTATCTCTGTAGGTACACATCCTATTGGTGATGAGTCAGAGACAGCTGATATTTAATGACTGATCGTTCGGTTTTTTGGGATAGATGCTTCTCTTAATAAATCCATGCTCATCTGATTTTTTGTAGATATCTGTGATACTTAGCTAGTTCTCTTGCCAGTTTATAATGAAGTTGATATTGTTCCCTAGATGTTGATTCATGTGAGTTAAAAACATTTTAACAACTCACTGTTGGTCTATGATAATCTCATTAAACTTCTCATTGTGTAACATCTGAATTATACTGGTAGACCATAGATACCTACCAACAACTGACCTTAGAGTTAAGTCTTTGCCATTAGTATATCAGATGTTTGGTTCACCAAGATCTGGTTGACGTTACTGTGATTCAGCCATGGATGTCTTTCAGTAGAATGTTCTACAACACCATAACTTTCGGTTATGTAATCGTGGTAGTTTTTTTATTCCTTTACGTTCCTAGTGGAACATAGGGCTTCAAGCTAGAGGCTTGAAGTTTCGATAGTAGTGGTGTTTATTTTTACGAGATGGGGTTGCTAGCCTCATGCCCAACCCTTCCTCTTTACAAGTCTTCCTACTAGCTTAGCAAGACAAAGGAAGAGTGCGTCGGCCTGGGATCGAACCCCGCACCACATGTAAGCGTGGCGAGCATCCTACCACTGTACCACCGACACTTTACTTAATTGGTGTTTCTTTAGTAATAACTAAGTTACTTTGTGAATTAAAAACTTATTTGTACTATTAAAGAACGCTTTAAGTAGACATAAGAGTTCTATCATTTCTGAATCTCAAGAAAAGATCATACATGGATATACAGCTATCTATAAGAACTGAATTCAAGTAAAACAACATTTTTAATTCCAGTTAAAATGAATCTTAAGATCTTATCACTAATCGTGTCCTGCCCTTGAGTGATAGTTCAGTAAACTGATCCAGTTGGGAAAACCGTGAAAGATGGCATTATGAATGTAAGCACTATCCAACTTTTTGAAAATACAAACCAGTGGTTCGTGTAAGAAGTGTACTATTTGAAACAACTAGTAAGGTTTCCTGTCAATTAATGGTAGAATAATACTCATTTGTACTACTTATTTTCAAAACTTATAAACTGAGTACCATTCATTACTAATATGAAATGAACTTAACTGACTCTCAGGATAAAATTATATCCATAGATGACCTAGCCTAATTTTAGGTTAGACAGTAACATGGACCCACAATCGAATAACTACGTACCACAATCTCCTATCACTCAACGTTATCAGTACCACAATGTCACGGAGAATATGAATTTCTCTAAATTCGTAGATATTCTAATTTGACGCTAGTTGGTTGGAGCCAGTTGGCAGGAATCCTTAGATCACTGACACTCATCAGCATGACGTATTTTGAGGAAACCCATGTCTCTTCTGAAATTCAAACCCGCGTCACCTGATATTGCAGTTCTAGACTTTACCACTCATCTATTCGTTTGCGCAATTAATCTCCTATAGGACTTTAAAGGATACTTTGGGGCTTAGTCCTTGGTTTATTGTTAATTGAATAGGAGACGTAGTCATATGATTTACCTTCGTAAATATTACGAATGATGTGTTTATCAACGTAAACAAAAATGATATGTTGCCAGTCTATCAAGTCTTTGAAAAACCTAAGTAACATAGTAGTAGAGCTCTCATGGCTGAAAGTTATGAAAGAGTCATTTTAAATTCTAACAGTGAACAGTGGCGCGTCATAAAGAGCATCTCAAACAAACTACACACCTTCATTAACAGTTATCTTCGCTCAATACTCAAGATCTGATGGCCGGCCAGAAAAGATCAGCAACAGAGAGCTCTGGCAATGAGCGAACCAACACAGCAGGAACCGATTGTGCAACAAATAGGCAGGAAGAAATGGAGATGGATTGGCTGGCCATACTCTGAGGAAATCATCAAGTGATATCACTAGACAAGCCATTGCTCGAGTGGAACCCGGAAGGGAAGCGGCGAGTTGGTCGTCAGTGCGAGGTGACTTGGAGGAGGTCATGTGAAGAGGAGATGAAAACGTGTGGGCAGACTTGGAGCCAGGTGAAGACTCTAACCAGCAGAGAACCGAACGCAATGGAGACGCACGGCTGAAGCCCTATGTTCCTCCACGAATTAAAGGAAACAATAATAATAATAAATTCTAACAGAAACATAACAGTTACTTTGTGAAAATCCCAGAACTGAAATCTCCCTCACAGTATTAACTGTCTGGTGTGTACATATACAGAAAAAAAGAACGGATACCTTGTTAAATAAGGGTCACTTGATCTTGAACGACTTCATAATCATCGATCATAAAGCAAGCACATGTATAACACATGTTTAAACCAATAACAAGTTGAACTACTCATGAGTACGAAAATTATATTAATAATCACAAAAAAGAGAAGAACAGATTACGGAATAATCGTTTCTGGCGCTCTAACAGCCAATGTAAAAAATAGTAGTAATGATTACACTTGATTTTATGCATATATGTATATATTTGTGTGCGAATAACAATCGAAAGAAATCTGTACATTGTTTAAATGAAATAGAAAATGAAAAGGGAGGGCGGGCGGTCACTTTATCTTATCTTATTTTCTCGTTGTAATATCATATATTGTCTGATAGAATAACTCAGCATAATTAATGCTGCTAAGAGAATCATAGTCATTAAGAGTAAGATGGCCACTAGTACTGTTATCATATTTCTTAACCAGTCTAGTTTCTCTTCACAATCATTATTACTATTAGTAGTATGTTTGTCTAAATAATCTTCTAGTACACCTAGAAATTTATCCATAGAAGCACATGACTCAGTTGATGTTTGATTATGCAATGAGATAGAAGTGAGTTGACTTACAAGTGGAGGTTGAGATGAAGAAGGCATTACAGGTGTCGGTGTAGACGATTCGGTTGTTGTTGTTGATGTTGTTGTGGGGCTGGGCGTGATGGTCTTATCTTCTGTTGTAGTCGACAATGATGATGCTTGCGTCGTGGCTAACGTAGAAGACTGTGATCCCTTTGTTTTAGTACGTTTTGGTGATCGTTTTGCACGAAGGCTACTCGTCACCGGTTGCGTAGTCATCATACTCTCTTGTTGAAGATATTCTTCACTATCTAGTGATCTTTCTAACACTATTGCTTGAAAGCGTTTTGTATTCGCTGGACATCGTCGTTCATGGGCTTTTAAATCAGCTACTAAGATAAATTCAGGATAATGTGGACAAGAATATCTCCAGTAGACTAAACATTCATTTTCAATATTTCTTATATTGTTATTATTATTATTATTGTTATTCCTATTCCTGTTCAATTCAATTCTTGAATCTGGCAAAGAAGATTCGTGGGGATTAATCATTGTCTCTTCTTTTCTAATACAATCTTGTATAATAAAATAATCCAAGGATAAATTAGCTACAAGCATAACATCCAGGTGACGTAACATTTTACCATCCAGTGATATATACCGCAACCATGGTGATAATCTGTTGAAATCACTTCTATCCAATCGAAATAATGGTAATGCAATTGTTATATATAAATCAGTTATAGGCTTAATATGCGTTAAAATATAATTATATATTGCAGTACTCATTCGACTTGAAGTGAATGTGAACAGATTGCCATTTGTTTCATTTGATAATGTTCCTATAACAATATGCAATAGACGAGAAGTAAAATGTGTAACACATTGACTTGTTACTGATTTATTCCATTTAATGTTCAATAGTTGATTCTGTTCAATTGTCTGATTTATGGATAAAGATGAATTAAAACAATCCAATATGGCGGTATTTTTATCTGGTAAATGTAAAGCTGTTGAATACACTTTTTTGCTTTCTCGACTGTTTATTTTAGGTCGAAGAATGCATTTAAAACTGCACGGGATATTTTTATATTCAGAATCTAATTCTGTCGGTGAAGGTGATGGTGTCACTGCACGTGGATATCGAAGCACTTCAGCATTTCTCTCCTCGTCTACTACTTCATCGTCATGATAATCGATAGATGTATATTCCTTGCTAGAAAGACTGTTTAGAGTCTCGATCACTTTCATAATGTCATTTATACCAATATTCATAGAATCATTGACTATTTCAGTGTGTAAATCGCTTGGCTGTATTTCTTCTCCGTCAACTTTATTTACATAGGACATTACTAGATTGATGAAAATGAATAAACTAAAAATTATTAAATTCATGTGTTATTATGCATCGCATAGAGAGTAGTAGTAATAATAATAATGACGATGATGATATTGACTTAAGCGTGAATACTGTAGTGACCATGACCTCTATCATTTCGCTTAATTTTTTTCTCGCTATTAGTTAAAATTACTTTTTTTTTATCCTGACTCAGTTGAATTTCCCTCTCCCTATGGTGACCTTGACGAGTATCTCTCCACTGCTATTGGTTAAAATATGATCAGCCAATCAAACAAAAGCTGATTGTTTTTGATTATTCGATAGATAAGATATGATACAGAGAGAGAGAGAGAGAGAGAGTGAGTGAGCCCAGACATAGTGTGACATTTATTCAATGTGTGCTGTCTTTTAGTAATTACACGTGTGTAGTCACACTTTATGCATAAATGTAAACATGTATATGCATACATGTTTGTTTGTAGCAATACGCTTACAAATTAGACCTAAAAAAGATTGTATATCTGAGTTTAATCACCTGTACGTATTGCGTTATTAGATTCTAAAATTTTTTTTTCTCCTTCAGACAGACATTCTGGGCAAATAAAAACTACATTCAAAAATATCGCAATACACTTGTAAACCTATCAGACATTTATGCAGCGTTATGGTGTATATGTGAAGACAGAAATTATCATTACTTATTTTATTCCTTTATGTTCCCAGTGGAACACAGGACTTCAAGTTAGAGTTCTGAAGTTTCAGTAGCAGTAGTGTTTATTTTTATGGGATGGAGTTGATAGCTAGCCTCATGTCCAACCTTCTCTCTTTACCAGTCTTATTACTGCCTTAGCGAGGTGGAGGAGCGCGTCTGTCAGGGATCGAAACCCGAACCACCTGTGTGATTGGCGAGCATTCTACCTCTATGCCACCGATGCACAAACCTCTTGTAACCGCCAGGAGTCGAACCCGGATCGACCGCTTGGAAGGCAGCCATGATAACCGTGGAGACAGAAAGCTGATGTTTAATTAAAACAATATAGGTATTGAATATATATTACATCTAATACAATTCCTGCAAGCCTAGATCCTTTTAATGAAAGATAATATGATAAACACCGGAAATAATATTTTTCACACATTTATAGAGAAAACCCCTGTAACAAAGTAGTCATTACCATTATTATTATTATTATTATTTCCATTCGGCTTTGAGTGGAACATAAGGCTTCAACAACACGTCGGCATTTCATTCCGTTTTCCGCGGTCATCTTTAGCTAGCTTCACGATTATATTCTCCTCAAACGATGCCCCCCTCCATTACACTATCGAACGCTATACTCATCGTTTGCCATTCGAGGGCTTTGCGCGTCATTTCACTCATTGATCTTCTTAGAGTGTATCCGATCCATCTCCATTTTCTTCTGCGTATTCACTGAGTAATAGGTTCTTTGTTGGTTGATGGCCAAAGTTACCTGTTGCTCATCTCTTCAATCCAGTTATCTAATCTTCACTATGGAATGAAGACAGTTGTCGATAAAAGTCTAAAGCCTGTTGAAAACACTTTTGTTCACGTGAACGCCGAATGACTGAACTATATAGAAGCATTGAATGAATTGACATTAATGTTGAAAATTCTAACCTTGTTATTTGTGTTGATTGCCCTAGATTTCCTCACCTGATTTCAAATTAAGGAAGTCCTGTGTTGGTTTTTTCTACCCCCTCTGCCATGACATCCTCAATATTGTCGCCACCTGTAGTTGAAACGATGCTGTCTGCCTAGATAAGTGAAAGAAGCAACCCCCTTCAAGTTTTCCATTTGATAGTGATTCGTGATTGTTGTTGGGTGTTCAGGGAGTATCTTTATTCCCTCAATCTTCTCTATGTTCACTTTAATTCCTGTCTTCGATACCTGCTTCATACGCCAACTTATTGGTATTCGTCTGTAGGACTTAAAAGAAAACACTCATAATCTATGAAACCGGTTGTCTAAGATTCCATGTTATTCTGTTTACGTGGTACTGTTTTCCATTCCTTTCCATTTGTAGTGGGGCAGAGAGCTTGAAGCTTTAAGCCTGGAAGTTTCAGAAGCGGCTTATGTTGTTTTCTGTGGAATGAGGTTACTAATCTCACTCCATATTTTTACTGCTTCCCTAACCCACTACCGGTCAGGTGAGGTTTGGCAGTGGGTCAGCTGGGAACTGAACCGCGACCACGTGGGTGGCTGGTGATCGCTCTACTCCGTGATCCACTGAAACATTGTTTACGTGGTACAGCATACAGAAATGAAACATTATATACTGGATGACATTTTGAAAACAATTCATAGCTCAAAGTTATATCAGAATAATCACGTAAGCTTGAAAACAAGTGTTTATGGTTATCCTGAACTTTCATGCTTTTGGTAGTAACATCTTCCAAATATCAATGTATTTCGTCCAGTATGGAACTCGTCAGTTGGATCTACCTGCTGTGCCAAAAGAGTGATCACAGTCAGTGATTAGACAACCTATTCTAATATGCTCCACACAGTCAAAAATTGTTCTATAACTTTTTTGTCCACATTATAATATCAATCCATTTGTGTAGCACAAAGTCTTCGATTAGAGCAACCGGTGACTTTAAACATTGATTTTCATTCTAGACACTTTCCACTATGAATTCGTACCTATCTGAATCTATTGTCTAGAAACACTCATGCTTACGGACACTTGCACTGTAACACACAAGTACATTGCAAAAACAGGTCAGTAATACAAAGATTCAGCTGGTATTTTGAGGATATCATCACACAAAATGCACGATAATAAACATTAAGTCAGACAACTCTTAGATTATATCACATGCTATCAACAGTCATCAGTTGTAAGTGGTTGTCTGCCTCAACCCAAGAAACGATTGATGCATACAAAACTGCTAACAGCTACCATGACACGTGGTCAGCTGGTAATCGCAGCTATTTGTGAGCACCTGATTAGAAATCGATATAGAGGTTACCCTAGTATAAACATTTCTGCTTTACCCAAGACGTTAACATATAATCTAGTTCACCACCGATTATACTAGGCAGCCTTGTATGTTGGGAGCGACGATATAGGAATATGCTGAGCCACCGACAATAAGACTCTAGGAGATCTGGATTTCAAGTGTCGATGATTTATGTCTAATGTCACACAAACTCGAAGACTTGCGGGCAGACGAAAACCAACAAACTGGCTGACGAAGCAGCCAGTAAAAACACGACTCCAGGTGAACAAATAGAACACGGAGGTGAAGAAGATGCCCACTAACCAACAGTAACGACAACCAGCACCAATCACCATCAGTGGGAGAGATATAACAGACGTCAATTCCTGCCCTCACCTATCTAGGAAGCACCGTTTCAGCTGCAGGCGGATAGCACGGATAATGTCAAAACCAGCCAGGATCGGAAAGTCAAGCTACGCCCTCATCAACCTGAAAGCATTTTGGAAATCTTCTGCACTCCGCAGCAAAAAGAACCAAATTCGCATTCTGTCAGTTAGTCGCTTCTCCTCTGTGTGGGTCAGAAACTTGCACTGCGTGTCGCAAAAAGCATTTCCAACAAGTTACAAACTTTTATCAACAGCTGCCTCCTTCGCCGGCCCCATACTGAAGATCATCTGGCCGGCCGGCCAGAAAGAATCAGTAACACGATACTCAGGCTGAGAAACAAACCAACCAAGAGCCGATCATTCAACAAATATGCAGGAGAAAATGGAGGTGGATGGGACACACACTGAGAAGGCCATCGGATGACATCGTGCGCAACGTAGGCCATCACTCAAATGGAATCCCAATGGGAAGCGATGAGTGGGTCTTCGGTGTGACGGTGGAATGGAGGAGATAGTGTAATGAGGAGTAGATGAGAGATTAGGGGAAGTCGTGGGCCCAGCTGAAGAGGACGGCAGGGAACAGAACAAAGTGATGTATTGCTGAAGCCCTGTGTTCCACTCATACCCTAAGGGAATAATAATAATGCAAGGTGTAAACAGATTTAACTTTAAACAGACTTTCTAGCTTAGCTCAACTATCACTTTATTAAGGCTAAATTTAATACTGAACTGCCTGTAAATATACGGAACTTCAATCTGTTACTGTTTAATTTGTATATATTTAGTATTCTCGCTGTGCTTCGGTTCATCATGCGGACAGAATACTTTGAGATAACCTACATAATATAACACGCTCAGATTTTGCGGTTTTAAAATGTTATTAAAAAAACATATTCATTGACTAAGGCATGACGCTAGCAGTTTATTAGCCCACTGGACAAGGTTTCATCGTTGGTAACGATCAACTGATTGACGGATGGGATCAAGTATGTTCGAGAACGCAGTAAAACTAATATTTTCAATCTCTCTTTAACCCATTTTATAAATTTTGTCATCAACCAATGTTTCATTAACTTTTCAGTATGTTATGTAATGATTTGGTTGCCCGTTTGTGTAGAAAATAGTGAGTCACTAGGCCGTCCCCATTGCATTGCATTCTCTCACACTAATTTCAACCGGCTCTGCACCTTTCAGGGACTGTCATGTCCTTTTCAAATAATCTTCTTCATATCAACCTCGGATGCTAACCCATGGCTATCTTTTCGAGTTTTACTCTATGAATCAGCGTGTAGTCTCACTTGAAATTCTTCTTCGATTATTTCCTATCTATCTTCATTTACTTCTACACATCTGTGGGCGATAAGTTGCTAGCTGGTTCGTTACCTGTTGGAGTTGTTTGCTACTTATTCGTTATGGCGCAGATATCTGATCTTCAGTATTACTGAGCGAAGCAGGAAGTTGTTGTTAAAACAAAACATGCAGCGTATTGCAGATGCTTTAAGTGAAGCATACGTCAAATCTCTTAACACTACATAGAAGTGTGGAGTCCTCAAAAATAAACTTATCCAAATTTTACTATTATGTAAAAAATGAACATATTGTACACTACTTTGTTTTAACCAAAAACTCTGTACTTTGAACTTCCCTCGAGTTTTAAATAAATATATAATTCTGCCTTCGACTCTCCGTCTTCTCCACCATCTCAACTGCCGTCGATCAATTATAACAACTTGCTTTCTATCTCGAATTTTTGCAGGAGCACCATAGCCTCTTCCTACGCACTTTGGTCGACCTCCGGCAACGTCAACACTGGAGAATTAGAACTGGAGCAGTCTTCCCGCAGCACTTC